CTCTAATGGAAAATAATTTTGTTTTTTCTAGAGTACCTAGCAACTAATTTTTTTTTACTCCAGTAAAAGGACTGGATAACCGAATATTTTACCAAGATTTATTTATTTTCAGTATATATAAATTAAATTATCAATTAATAATTGTATTGAGCGTACTTTTCCATTTCTCAATTTTTCATAACGCATCTTGAATGCGAAAACTAAAAAGAAGATTTCTGCATTGCCGAATTCATATTGTAATTATGTAATTTTTATTTTTAAGATTAAAGTTGTAGCATTATAAATATTCTCAAAGAGAAGCAAATAACTTGATTAAAAAAAATACACATAATACATATTTTAAAAAATCTGAATATGAGTTTGACTTTATCAATTGTTATCAATCGTTTACCTGTCGTGCACACGCAGTAAACTTAGGGCAAACCGCCGCGCCGCTTGCGTATTGTGTCGCTTTAGTAGCGCATCTGTCACCTTCGTAATCGTAATTATATATCGGAAGTTAAAGAGAGATTAAAAGTCCGTCGAAAGCGAACGTTAGATTTATCACAGCCGTTCCACCCTCGACGGTGATTAAACGACCGTATAGAAAAAAATCGATTGTCCTCGTCTGGAGTTAAAACTTCATCAAGACGTACGCGGTTGACCGCGAGGTTATGGTAACAGCCGTGGAGATGAAGAACAACCTCTGTTTCTCGGCACGAATTGATCGCATCTGCGATGTAAAAAATTAAGTTTGGAACTTGGTATCATCTCCATCCTAACATGATGGAGCTGAAGGTGTGGGTGGAGGGAATTCAACGCATTGTGTGTGGCGTTACAGAGACTACTACCTGTCAAGTATGCATATCACATAAAGTTTGCTATGGTTTACTGGCTTGCTATCGTTCTATTCATTTCTATTATAATAACTTCAAACGCGTTTGTATGTAATGTACGTATACTTGTATATGCATATATCAATACAGAAATTAATTTAGAGAAATATATTAATTAATAAGGCTAATTCTACAATGTGCTTTTTGTTTCCTGTTTGTTTGCTGTTTGTCTCTTGCCTTCTTGAGCAAAAAGGCAAGAGACAAACAGCAAGAAACAGGAAACTAAAAGCACATTGTAGAATTAACCTAAGAACTAAGCACCAACCAAATTAGATATATGTATAGTTACTAGAATTAAATACCTGTTTTATAACAAATGGACAAAATAAAACACCTATGTCGTAAAAAAATTGTTATTAGTACATAATGCAATAGAGGTATATATGATTTTATAAAAATAAATATTAAAAGAGCAATAATTTGATTGATTGTGTGATTCGGATTGAAATTTCATTATTGTTATCATCAAAAATCACATTTTCTTTGTTTTATCTCTTGTAAGACTGTACTAATTTTTAAACTTTGTTGCTAATGACTATTTATCTCTAGGATGTGGTATATGCACTTGCTCACGCTACAGCTCAGACAGGTAGATTCACTTTGGTGGAGCGTTGGAGAACCAATGAACGTTTGCTAGCACCATATGAGAATCCTCTTAAGGTCAGGCATATTTTCTACATCTTATCTAATATAGATAATATTATGAGTTTATAATGTATTTTATACTGTTAATGAAATATAAAAGTCTTTAATAAATCAAAATGTTTATATTAATATGATTTTTATTAATCGAGAAATAATAAAAATTGATATGATACCATTTATATTGATCAGATTTTGATGAAATGGGGTGAATACTCTTCAGAAGTTCAATTGATTCTGAGACGATCTACGCCAGAAAATAACAAAACAAATGCATTAGCATCACGACCAACGTATACATCACGTCCAAATGGATTACCAATTTCATTACCTGAGCATGGAACAGCTACTGCTGGTATACAGGATGAGAGCAAAAATGTGTCAACTACACAAAATTCAGATTTTGATGATACGCAAGGAGGATTAGAGAGGAATAGAGATACAAGGAAATCACTTACATTTAGTGGCTTTCATGGAGGAATTACAGAAGGTAGCATAGAGGTAAGTCTACATTCTTAAATAAAAAAAACATATATGTGTGTGTGCGTGTGTGTGTGCGTGTCCATGTGTGTGTGTGTGTGTGCATGCGTGCGTGTATATTTTACATATTGGCATAAATTAAGTAAATGTTATTAACAATAAATATTTAATTATAAATTTTATTACGTTAAAACATTTATAAAACTGTCTTTATGTTATGTCTCTGTCTATATTAAGTTTTTTGTAATTAATTTTTACTATAGATGTACAAATAAAATTGTTCTAATATATTGCGAAGAATATCACGTAATTATGGCGTTTCGTCCCAACTTCCACTACTGGAG